ATGTAAAAAGTGGAATCCGTATTGTGGAAACTGGAATCCGGAATGCGGAAAGTAAAAATTGGAATGCGGATATTTACATTTGAATTAATTGCAAAAACAATTTTTTCACATTTCAATCGTTTCAATAAGGAACTTTCTATTTGCTTCTTATTGAAATATAAAAATCCAACGAGGATATAAAAAATTCTATGTCAATAAAATAAATTTTGCAAAGATAGAGAGAAATCAAACATTAATTTCAAATTGGAAAAAAAATTATCATTATTTTATATAAAGGAATATCGGATATTTTTTCTTTTCAGCAAGACTTGAACAAAAATGAATTTATCTTCTTTACGACTTTTCATCATTAGAACGGGATTTTACTTTTAACAAGCAAATTGAATACTTCAGTACATTAAATTTTATATTTTTCATTTGTTTCTCGGTAAAATGTAAGTCTACTTGAAAACTACATCGTCAGTAGATAGAAAAGTTTGATTTATTAATTATAAAAAAAAAAAAAGAAAAAAATTTCATTGCGAAAAGAAATTTTATTGACTGAATGTAAACTTTTCTTTTTCCTTTAATTAAAAGTTTATATTCTTTACAGGTAACAAAAAAAAAATAATAACAATGTTCCTTTATATTTAATTATTCAATATAGCAGTACCTAAATCATCAGTTCAAAAAGAAGTGACTAAAATATACTTTTGATATTAATTTAATTATAATGGAAAAAGTTTTCACTTTTTTTTTGTTTTATATAGATAAAAAAAAGATATTTTTTTTACTCACGCATAGTAGAATATTATAGGATCAGTGAAATTACGTTGAGACTCACCTGTAACAAAAAAACATCAATTTTGTTAATGGACTCGTTTTTTTAAATTATATTTCTACATTTTGTTATTGGATCAGAAAACTAAAAATAGAATTTGAAATATTTTTTCCATTTATTCAAATATTTCATGGTTTAAAACTAATTAAATATTTTCAAAAAAAAAAAATTGCGATTTAATAATTTATTTAATGACGTAACTAATTAAAATGGGAAAAAAATTAAAAATTATAACTACGGAATTATTTTACAATATTTAAATTATAAAATAATATTTATGTTAATGGACATAATTTATTTTTACTTTCAGTACGATTTATTATTATTGTAAAAAGAAATCAATTAGCGCAGTGTATTTTCTTGAGAAATTCATCATTATGAACAAGGGACCTTTTTTTTTCTTCGTACCAAGATTAAAGATTGATTACTTTTAAGGTTGAGTGCGGTAAAACATTCTTAAAGAGACATTGATTGTACCCTATATTTTCTTGCGGAACAACCATAAATCATTCACTTTAAGCTTATTTCACGCACAATTTCTTATGTAGAAGATAAAAATTTTCAAATTAAATTGTTGCATTCGTATTATCTAATTTATTTGAAATATTATGTTCAATCAAAATTTTAACAACAATAAAGAAGTTAATAAAATAATAAATATTATTCAATTAAAAATATGGAAGGGAAAAATTTACTTTTCCTATTCCATTTGCAGAATGTCAAAATAAAATTTCTACTTTTAGTAGACTCGATATAAATTAATTAATTTTTATAATAAATCGAGATTTCGAACTGCGTATGATTGGAAGTGACAATCAAGCTGAGACAAACGCACGGACGGTGAAGAAAGACTATGTTTCCCTCGCCCCTGAGATGCGCGTCGCCTACCCTAAACGAATATGGTTCTGCGCAGACTTTGAGAGTTTCCCCCTCCCGTTCCTTGTTCACGGATATAAATATCGGCCGTTCTGAAGTGGAGCGTCACTTTCGTGCTTCACACAGTCGTGTTTGTTTCGTCAATTAAATTTTGTGTAATTGCAGAATAGGTTCTTTTGTATTTTTTTAAGCTTTGTAAACAATAAATATAGTTTCGTAAAAGTTATTTATTTTATGTTTTGATAATTCTTTTTTATTCTGTTATTTATTAGCACGTGAATAGTTTTCTTTGTTTTTAAAATAATAATATTTAATTTTTTAAATTGTGCAGAAATGAGATAAATTAAATTCCAATTCTAGTAACATTGTTTTCACTCAGAGAGGTCATGTATAATAATGTTGTTTTCTCTTATTTAGAAGAAACGACGGTGGAACTGTTTTATATGCTTTGCAATGGTTTGTTTCCTAATGATGATGAATGAGAGTGGAATTCAACGTCTACAGACGCATCGATGAGGGATAAAACAATAACAGTGTGTTCACTGAAGACAGAGGGTTGTCAACAGTGTTTCCTCCTCCCTTCTCAGCCCTCTCTAGTGAATACAGAGACCTGACCCAATTGAATTCCAGGGGATGTGATATATCGAAAGCCGGATACAAGCGCACGTTGGACGTGAAAGGCAAACCGTATAGAATCCCTCTGAGGTTAGTAGAACGAATATCCCACTTTGTCGCTCTGATATTCCTAGTGTGGCGCGTCACCAATGACAGTGGGTTGCCTCAGTGCAAAATCCGTCGCGGTATCGTCAACTCTCACGTATATAATATTACACAGACGAATCTCTCTCTCTCTTTTTTTTTTTATTATATGTTGCATTTACTCTGATTCTTTAGTAAATCGTACATATGAGATAACTTCTACTCTGTGGTAGTATATACGTGAAACCTAACAATACCAAACAATCATCTTCCTGCATATTCTTCGTTAGCGTCAGCATTGCCGAATGGTTCGCATACTGATGAGAGGCCATTATCCTCTCTGCTGATCGATTTACCGAGAATCGATGAATATTTTACTGGGAGAGTCAGAATGTCAATTCGTTCGACTAAAGTGAAACTTGAAATGTACTATGACATTGTTCTCTTCATACAAATTCCATATTTCTTATATATAATGTATTCTTCACCGATGCAAACAGAATTACATCAAATTTTCTTTTTTGTCTAATAAATAATTATTGAAAAATAAAATTCGAATTAATTTATTATTCCTTCATTGTCAAAAATATTATTAGGATGAATACTGGGCTAAACACAGAAAAAAACCTTGTCTCTATTTTGCTTACACATTTAAAAAAAATTGTTTTAATAAATTTTAATATTGGATTTTTTTTTTGTTTTTTTGTTCTATTTTATGTCACATGGTTGGTATTTCTGCCTGTCAATTTACAAGTTCCTGAACTACAAAATTTTTTATATAAATTCATAACTTCATTAAATCGGCATCAGTTTTTTTAATGTGCTATTTGTTTTTTAATAAAAAAAATAATTTTAATTTATATTTTTATGAATGATTAGTTGTTATTAAATTCAATTTTGAAGAATTTTTCTTGAACTCAAAGCAAGTCGAACCGAACCATTTTTGTTTGTATGTCAAAAATGTTTGCAGATAAATACTGAACCTTAAATTGGCAATTATGGGAATATATAAGATATATTTAAAATCAGTCAAGATTCTTTAGAAAGAATTTCTCGTCGTCAATTTATTATGAAATTTTGAACTTTCCTTTAAGAGGGAAATTTTAATTGCAAGTTAGTTGAGCGTATATACAATAATCATTCTTAAGTACCACTGTTCTTAATATTAGAATAGATTTGCTTTTCAAGATAAAGAAGCGCTGCATTTGATAAAAACATCAGGGTAACAAGAATTTTGCAGACTAAAATTTTCTATAAAAGGGTTTATGTTTAAGAGAAATCCTCCCTTTTGACTGATTTTCTTTAAGCTCTTGTTAATTTTATCGTATTATTATGGACTTTGCTTGTATTCCGTTCTTTGCTTCTTTAGTACAGAGACTGAATTCCCCTTATAAAATTCACTTTATTAAAATTGATATTAAGAAAGATGAAAAGCACCAGCAGCCAAAAGACTTGATTAATTTTCAAAAATATACCTAAAACTAAACGAAAATTAATGAAAATAGAATATTAAACTTTATTCTTGTTTTTTTTTTGTAAAAATACAGAAAATTAATAGACAAAAATATTGTGTGTAACATTTTGTGAAACTTAGAATGAAATGATACAGAGAGAGAGAGAGGGTTTTCTCTAGACCTATGGTATATAAGAGAGAAAATAGACGCTTTTCAGTCTTTTAGGGATGCACTTAACAAGCTTGACATCAAAGGAAGTGGAACACCTTGATGATATTGTTTTGGAAGTTCTTTTCTTTTAGCCTATAACACTTTATTAACAAAGGAAAAATAAACTTTTCATAAAACACAAACTTTTACATACAAATTACAATGTTGAAAAAGATATAATTGTATAACTATTATCTAGCGGATTGTCATTTTCATTTTAAAGATTGTTAATTTTTTTTTAAAAGTAGTTGACATTAAAGATGATTTTAAAAATTTTTCTAAGTAACATAAAATAAATCACCACATGATAGCAAAAGAAATTTATATCTAGGAATATTAGTCATAAAACAAAAATGACAAATATATATCAGTGAGTAAAAAAAATTTTTTCGACTAAATTTATATAAATCTTTCTTATAGTCTTGTTACACTGCATAGATCAATATTAATGCTTTAGGTTTATCCACATCCGAGAAAATCCCTAGCATAAGTTATCATGGGACAAGTGCCGGATGGACTAATGAATCGCTTTATTCCCCAGTGGTAAATTTAACCAATTGGTAAAGTAAATGCTCCTTCGAGATTTTGGATTATGTGCTTCTCAATTGCTTAATTGCGTATTTGAATCTAATTCGACTTGAATTTCAAATCGCTTTATGAATCTATTGTCAACTATTTATATAATAATTTTGTCGTCAAATTTTTAAAAGCAAATTCTTTTTTTTTATCTCAATATTATAATGTGATACATTGTCAGTATGGGTCAATGACATTCACGATAAATGTAATTATCGTCTGTGTCAATATTTATTCTTTTTAAATATTTCAAGTCCACCGCGCTAATAATATTACTGAATATTTACACAGAAATATTATATTTATTTAGTACAATCACCTTTTAGAAAATTAATTTTATTGTAATAGTATTATAAAAATGTATTATTTTATATAGTGTTCTTGACCTAAAATCTCATTTTATGTAATTATAATTAGAAATGAGAATTTTTTTTTTTATAGACTGGATGTAATAAATTATAAATAAATTGTTCATCATTATAGTTAAAAGAATATTTTATCGGGTAATAAATTATTTCATCTATTTGCTTTTTACAAACTTTTATAATTTTAATAGAAAAAAAAGATAGGTATTAAAAATTCACTAAAATTAATTCTGGAATATAATATATGTGAAATTTATTTTTAGTTGGAAGCGAAATGTTGCGCGCGCAAACGCAGAAAGAAGAGGGGGAACCAATTGAAACGCGCTATCCCTACTCTCAGATAGAAGAACCAATTGCGATTGACTTTTTGGAACAGCGATAACTATAAAAGAAGAAGTTCCATAAAGGAAGGGAGCATTCTAATGTGAGCAGTTTTATTGATGACTACTTTTAGAAACTTACATCATTCTCATACAATGAAGCTATTAATAATTCCAAGTTTGCCAACATCGCTTTTTTTAAGGATTGATTTTTCACGTGAGAATTGCATTTAATTTTTTTTTTTTCTCCAGACATTCGGAAATTTCACGCTTGACCAAGTCAATATGAATTACGAGTCTGTTTTCGCGAGCAGCCAACGAGAAGACGAATGGAAAAGTCTCTCTCTTTCTCTCTCTCTCTCTCTTTATCCCTGGGAACTTTCACAGGCGTAATCACGGGAAAGCTACTTTTTCTCCTAGTCCGTTAAATTATGTTTTACCCTGGGATTTATTAGTCGAAAGCGAGTCACGAACTGCGCACACTTATTACGTGTAATCAGTGTCAAATAAATAAACGTGGGAATGAAAGGTACAAAACTCGAGTGCAAGTTGACGTGTGTAGTTTTGAAAATGGTTCACCAAACTTTTTCTTCTTCTTCTTTTTTTTTCTATTTCAAATGAATATGAACATCGGTAATGAATGAACTATAATTACAAAACTCACTTGAATATTTGCCTGATGGTAAACTTATCTATAGAAAACTGTATAATTTTAGGATTAATTAAACTCGACCACAATATTAACTCAAAGCATACGCGGTGTGAACTTTTCGACAATATTGAGAAATCATTAGTTGAAATTTTTATTATATGAAATTTCATTTGTCATAATTATTTTTGAGCCGAATTTTTATTTTGCAAAATTTTCAACACAACGATTTTCTATATTACAGAATTTTTATATAACTAAAATTCACTTCACAGAATTTTTATTCGGATCGGACCAATTTTTAGACCCCATGAGTTAAATTTTCCTCGAAAAATGAAAATATAAAAAATTACCGACTTAGAAATCTACCTCACCGACTCATGGTAAAACAGTTTTTTGAAAAAAGAAAATACAAAAAATTATCCACACACCATCAGTCAGTAAGGTAGATTTTTATGTCGGTAATTTTTTGTATTTTCATTTTTCAAAAATTTCTTTACTATCAGTCGGTAAGGTAGATATCTATGTCAGTAATTTTTTATATTGTCATTTTTCCACAAACCTGTTTTACCATCAGTTGATAAAAAATTCATCTGAAAGAAAATTCTATGCAATGAAATTCTACCCAATAAAAATTCTTTAAAATGCCTATTATGTTAAATGAAAATTCGAGCAAATAAAAATTTTGACAAAATAAAAATTCTGTAAAGTGAATTTTCGGTTATATAAAAATTCTGTAATATAGAAAATCGGTTTGATAAAAATTCTAATTCGCAAAATACACTAATTCGAACAAATGAAAAATTCGGCTCCAAAATAATTATGATAAATGAAATTCCATAAAATGAAAATTCTAACTAATGATTTTTAAAACATAATCATGCGTCCAACAATATTAATAACCAAAAAATTATTTTTTTTTAATGTTTTTAAAATACAATTTCAAAATGAATATTAATTGACATAGTTTGAATTAGAAAATATTCTTTTTGTTCAACTTTTATTTTTCGACTCATTGGTTTGACTCACTAAGATAACATCGCGTTTTTTTTTTTTTTTTTTTTTGAAAACAGACTAAAAGGGAGATAAAAAAGATCAAAGGGTCCTCAAATGGAGTGGGACAAAAACTAGCTAACTCTCAGTCTCCAGAGATAAACAAAAGAATTATCGAAATCGAAATCTAAAGTGAAGTGGATTTTCTTAATAATCCGTATTTTCCAAACAGTTCGACTATATTTTCTCTTACGTAAAAAAAAAAAATTATGCAAAAAAAAAACCTCTAGACCAACAAATCTGAAATAATATAACTTGAATAAAAAATAAAAAAACAAAAATTTTAAATTTCTTTGGCAAATTTTTATTTTTCAATTTTTTTTTTTTTTTTAATTATTAAAAGGATGGATTAAAAATGAAATTAACTTGAATTACAATATACTTCTATTGTAGAATTTGACCAAATATTCTATTGAAAGTAATATATTATACGGTAAAATTATTCATGGTTTGAACCACAGAAACTAAAGTCGTCTTTCAATGTAAAGTTTCAAGTTTCCAGATCCGGGCTTATTTTAAACAGTTGGTGGCCACAGTTGGGCAACTTTACGAGGAAATGCGAAGCAAACATCGAAAGATAACCAGAGAGGGAAATCAGAATTGTTACGTAAATAATAACAAAAACAAATTTATTTACATTGTATGGTATATCCTATTAACATAAAAAATTTATTTTTCTTATCAAGTTCTTTTCATTTTTTTCAAATTCTATAATTATAATAATCATTAATATAACCTAGATTTAGGTCAAACAATTTATTGTTATTATTAGATTTAGGAGTACTTGTGTAAGAAAGGGCATGTTCCGTTATTTTATTAAATAAATAAATAAATTATTATTATTATTATTATCATATAATTTTTAGATATAAAGAAACAATTTTTGATTCGCTGATTTTAATATATTTATATTTACGAATCTAATATAATGAATGATACATTAAAGAAGAAAAGTTTAATTTTATCTAAAACTTGGTATAATTTGTAAAATGTAAATTTCAGATTTGAAATTACCTATCTCAAAATTTGATATTTTTATTATTTTCTAAAAAAAAAATTCATCTCTAATTAAAAACTTGCTGACCTATAATCTTGAATGAATGAATGTCAAACATATAGAATCTTCATTTTCATTAATGTTTATCTATATGCTAGAGTTGTTCAATGATGACACATAATAATCAGTGACAATCTCGCATATGGGTCATTCCAAGTGCAATTTTCATTAAAAAAAATTTTTTTGACTGAAACATTTTTTTTTCGTAGGGGTAAGCGGTACAGTTGTTGCCCCCCTCTCACAGTGATTGCCACCATTACATTACAAACAGAAATAATAACGAAATTTACATATAATATTTTGTTTTATTTATTTATATAAATTCTACAGAATATTCTGCTAATAGTGTAAAAAGATTTTTATTCTTCGACTCACTATTATGAAAATAATAGCGCTTTTCGACAACAGTGTCCTTAGCTCTTTGAAATTTTGTCAATTTAGTTGTAAATTTGCAAGGTTAGTGGTGATACTTTCTTTGACTTTTTAACGAAAAAATTATACATATCATTATTATTTTTTAATTATATGCATGAAAATAAGTTTAATAATAAGTAAAAGATTTGTTTTAACGTAATTTGACTCGATTTACCGAAAATTATAGAGAACAACTACTATCTTGCAATTAATAACAAATAATAGTCATTGGGCAATGTTTAATTTTTGGTTATTATGTCATTTTTCAGTGATTAACCGTTTATTTTCAAGACTTTTTTGAGATAAGTATTTTTAATTTTTGGACGTTTTTTCATATTTGGTGAATTAATTTTTTAAAATAAAGATGTAATTAGAGCCGCAGCATGTATTAGAATGATTTGTAATATTTTATTAACAATTTTTTAATATGAAGTATGATTTTAGGCTATCGAAAAAATGCCGAAGGTAAAAAAAGGTGTTTCGTATATGCTTCTTTAAGCAATGAAAAACTTGAAAATCATGTAATCATTATATCAAATCAAAATAGCCAAAAATAATTTTTATTTTTACAATTGAGTCAGATTCGACAATTTTCCCAATTTTTTAGGTTAATAGTATTATTTACACTTAAAAGTCATATTTAATGAATCTTATTATTGTTAATAAAAGAAAATTATTTTAAAAATTACTTCTTCTTTATTAATTTCAAATTATATTCATTCTTTAATAAATGATGCAAAATTTATAATTTACATTACTATTTTATGTCTAGTGGGCAATCATTTTAAAATTGATAGTCAATCACTGTAAAAATAATGACAATCACTATTTTTTCTGTCATGTGAAGATTTTTTTATTTTTTTTAAATTTATACTAATATTAAATAAACAATTCATTATTATTTTCAGATTAATGGAATATTTTAATTCCTTTACAAATGGTTTCATTTCTCATTTCGATAATTAAACATTTGTAATTTGTATAAATATATCCCCTTTTTGCTTATACTGGCAATCACTGTACCGTTTACCCCTAATCTTTATGAAGATTGCAAATAAATAGATAAATAAATAAAAATACAATAAAAATAAAATAAAAACAATAAAAAATAAAAATAACAAATACATTTAAAGAAAAATATTTAAAAATAATAAAAAATACAAAAAATGATAATAAATACATAAAGATAAATAATAAATAAAAATTAAAAAAGAATAATAATAAAAATATAAATATGCTAAGTAAGAAAATACATATTTTTTTATTTCTTTATTTGATAAAAAACTCTGAAAGTTATGATTTTTTTTAAAAAAGTTTTTAAGTGCTATTTTTTGCATTCTGAAACGAACACCCTTCTCAGAGAGAAGATTTATTTGATTTAAAGAAACCAATTTCTTTGACATTTTTTTCTTTCATTGAAATAAAATTTTTTTTTTTAATCAAAAAAAGCTTCTTAGTTTTTTTTGAATAAAAGAAATTTTTACATTAAATCAAAGAAATTCTAACATTGATAACATTTTAAAATAAAAAATTTCTTTGAAACGAAGATAATTTTTTTTTTTGAATCAAAGATAATTTGTTTGAAACAAATATAAATTTTCTTTGTATTAAAGAAAAATTTGTCAAAGAAATTAATGATTTCTTTGAATCAAATAAATCTTTTTTTTTGAGTTGACGTCTACCTTAAATTAAAAAAATCATAACTTTAATAATTTTTATCAAATAAAGAAATAAAAAAAAAATGCAATTTTTTTCTATTTTTCATAAAGATTTTGAAAAAAAATGTTGCAGTTAATAAAAAAATTTTTGAATGAAAATCTCGCATAAAATGACCCATATTCAAAATTTTTGCGTCGGAAATGTAAGTGTGTAGGACGAATTAATGAAGCTACGAATGCATTTACGTGTGCTCGCGTAATCCTCTTTCGTTGTTTTTGGGTGCAACGTGTATATATATATATATATATATATATATATATATATACTTATGTATCTGTACGTATACGATAAATAGAGATAATCCAGTCGTTTGTGTGTTTTGGATGAGATATGTACATTTTACCACAAACTACGATTTGTGTAGATTTTCTCACATAACTAAACAAAATATATATATACACTTATCATATGCATGTTAAACTTTATCGTTTCATTACTCATAACCCATAAAACAAAAGGATATCACTGCTGGAATATCTTACAAAGAGACTGAATATTTGAGTTTGCAAGGCAAAAAAAAATTGTTAAAAATTTATAGGTTATGTTCTAGATTGTAATAATTTTGATCATTACATAAAAATAATTAATAAGAATTTTTATTTTAAAAAATTTAATTAGAAATAACCCTAATAACACAAGATATCTTGGGATATATTGATAATATCCCGCAGATATCCTAGGGATGTCCTATGGATATCAAAAGGATCTCTTCAGGATATCCAAAAAATCGGCGGTTTGGATATCCTTTGGATATCCAATGGATATCTGAGGATATCCACAGGATATCTTCTGGATATCTCTATAGACTTTCATAAATGTCCTCTAGATATCCCATTGATATCGTCAGGATATCCCACAGATATCATCAGGATATCCCATAGATATCGTCAGGATATACCACAGATATTTTCAGGATATTCTCAGTATATCTTCTGGATGTCAAGAAGATATTCTCAGGATACTGTTTTTAAAGTCATTATGAGACTACGAGTGAGAATATTCTGTGAATTAAATTTTATATATAAATAAAATAAAATGCAACTTGTTTTTCGAGAAAGTTGTTTAATTTGAAAAATTATTAACTAATTTTTTTCTCATTCGTGATTCATTCCTTTATTCATATGCTTAAATATTGTCAGAAAATAAATTGGCTTTAAACAATATAAATTCTTCCCCGCAAATAACGAATAACTATTAAAATTAATTATACATTAAATGCATGAGTTTATTTAAAAACTTTGCAAAATGCGTTTCAAATCTTCATTTAAAATAAATTAGAAGCTCATAAGATTTTTGTTTTTATTATATTATTATTCATTATATTAGCTTAACAATTTTAACTTTAAAAATATATGTTGAGATATTAAATATCCCACGGACATCCTGAGGATATCCCATGGATATCCTGCGATATAATATCCAATAGATATTTTGTGGATGTCTTAGGGATATTTTGTGGATGTCCCACAGTCCGGCGGTTTGGATATCCTAGGGATATCCTATGGATATCCCAAGATATCCTGGGGACCATTCTAGGATATCGACCATTGATATGGATATCCTAGGGATATCCTTTTGTTATGAGAGAACTATTTTTTAGACAAATTTTCAATTTTTGATTTAAAATTTTTAATTTGACAGGATTTTTTTTTATACAAATTTTTACTTAACAAAATTTTTACCTTCAGACCAATTAGAAATTATTATTAAGAAAATCGTGATTGGTCAATTTAAAAAATTGCGACGAAATCTTTCTGTTGATTGTTTGTTCGGACATTTATAATGTCGCGACAAATGAAAATTCTAATGAATGATTTTTATGGGAAATTCATATGCCCCCAAAATATATAAGCGACACCCTTTATAGTGGTTTCATAAAAAAAATATATGTTAATCATTGGCAAAACAAAAATTTAATTACATATTTGAAAAAAAGTAAACATTCAAAAATAAAATTCATTACTAATATTAAAAATTAACGTCGGTGAAGTTCACAACATTTATGATCAACGATTGAGAAGAGAAAATATTTTTCTATATGCAAATTATTTATTTATTTATCCAAAAAATTTTTTTTGCAACGTTTCTTGATCAATAATTTTTTGAAAAAAAAAAAATTGTAGGCAAAAAATTAGTTATTATTTTTTGAGTGAAAAATATATTTTTTATTCAATCGTTGATCATAAACGTTGCAAAACTTCACCAACGTAAAAATTATTTCATTATATTTTTACGATGTGCTGACGTTCATAATGTTTAAATGATCAATGATTAGAGAACAAATTACTTTTTTTAAATGGAAAAACTGTAAAAACTTTTATCTAAAAGAGAGTTTTTTTTCCAATAAATCAATAAAAAATTGTCATCGAATTTTTTTTTTTTTTTAATTTATTTAATATATCACAAGCGTCGGTAATGACACGTGTAATTATTTCTTATCATATGTATTTCAACAATTAACTAAATATTTCTATGAATCACAAATATAATTTACTATTAATATTTAAAGAAGTCTTCAAACAAGTTTATGAATAATAAAATCGGTGTTAATTAATTTTTTTTTTCATTTTTACTATATAAAAGCTGAGTATCAAAAAAAAAAAAAAAAAAAAAAAAAAAAAGTATTAAGTCAACTTCACTTGCGATTATATTTCTAGTTAATATGAAAATGTTAAAATTCAGTTGGTAAGTTTATTTCTTTATTTATTCATAATAAAAATTACCAAAAATATTTTATTATGCAGCTTTTTAAAATGTAAAAATGATACCAAAAATTGTTTGTAATAATAAGTAAATGATTTTCTTTTATTTCTAGCCTACTGTTGTCAGTAGTTTTTTTATCATCATATGGCCTATTTTTGAAAAATAATTATTCTTTTCTAACTGATGATTCTCTTATTAAAAACTTAACAGAAAAAAATGCAGAATTATTTTTAGAAAAAGTCAATAAGATTTTAATGGAAATTGCTAATACAGAAATGGAAGCCTTGTGGAATCATCAAAGTAATTTAAATGATTCTTACTTGGCTGATTTTAGTACCAATGTTTTCATTGAAACTGCTACTTTCAAAAAATTATTGATAAAATATGTTGAAAAATTGCCTTGGAAAAATTTAAATAATACATATCTTAGAAGGCAATTTTCAAAAATGGGTGACATTGGAATCGCTGCCCTATCTCCACAAGTAATTATTTAAACTTAAACAAATTTTCAATTTGCAAATATGCTTTTAAAAATTAAAAAAAAAAATTAAAAAATTTCAGCGTTTAAATGAATATCAAATGATTACAAATGACATGGTTAAAACATTTTCAACAGCTAAAGTTTGTGAAATGGAAAATGAAAAAAAATGTAATCTCAATTTAGAATCAGATCTCATAAAATTAATGGCCACCAATCGAAATGAAACAATGCTTAAATATTATTGGACCGAATGGCGAAAAGTTAGTGGTGAAAAAATAAAATCTTTATATTCCGAATATGTTAAAATTGGCAATGAAGCGGCAAATTTAAATGGATATGAAAATAAAGCTAATCTTTGGATGGAAAAATATGAAGTGGATGATTTTGAATATCAAATCGGTATAATATGAGAAAGGAAAAAAACAATTTTTTTTTTTTACAGAAAAATTCTTATATCAAAAAATTTACTTTCAGAATCTGTTTGGCAGGAAATTAAACCCCTTTATCAAGAAATACATGCCTATGTAAGAAGAAAATTGAGAGAAAAATATGGAGAAAATATTGTCTCCATGAAGGGACCAATTCCAGCTCATCTTTTAGGAACAATGTGGGCTGATTCTTGGGAGAATATAGCCGATTTTACTCTACCATATCCTGGAAAAAAATTACCAGACGTAACTCCAAATATGATAAAACAAAGTAAAAACATTTTTTCACAATTACAAATAAGTAAAAAATTTTATCTTTGGAACAAAATTTGAATAATTACAAAATGTTCTCTCTCTTTGTTTTTTTTTTTATTAAACAGATTACACAGCAAAGAAAATATTTCATTTGGCAGAGGCATCATTCTTGTCAATGAACATGAGTGCAATGCCTGATATGTTTTGGAATAAGTCCATTTTTGAGAAACCAATTGATCGTGAAGTAATTTGTGAACCAAGTGCATGGGATTTTTATAATGGTAAAGATTTTCGAATAAGAATGTGTACATCAATAGATGAAAATTCATTACAAAGAGCACATCATGAAATGGGTCATATCGAATACTATATGGAATATAAGGAACAACCTGTTATTTTTAGACGTGGTGCTAATCAAGGATTTCATGAAGCTATTGGCGATATGATTAGTTTAAGTATCACGACACCAAAACATTTGCAAAAAATAGGTCTCCTCGAAAATTATATTGTCGATGATGAAGCATCGTTAAATCATTTATATCTCAAGGGACTTCAATTAATTTCCAATCTTCCATTTGCATATATTATGGATTTATATAGATGGAAAATATTCAGAAATGAAATTTCATCTGACAATTATAATTCTCAATGGTAGGATAATTTTTTTTTATAATACTCTTGAAAACTGAATTAGTAAAAATGTTTACTAATTTGAATTAGTGACTCACTTTTTGCTTTTGAATTAGTAAAACTTTTATTAACAATTAGTAAAATTTAACTAATTCTAAAGCAAAAAATGAGTCAGTAATTTAAATTAGTAAAAACATTTTTACTAATTTTGATTTAGAGAATGTAATAGTAATAGTAATAGCGAAAGTGAAAGTAAACTTTTCTTCTCGTATTCTTTAGGTGGAAATTGGTAGAAACATTTCAAGGTATCGAGCCCCCCATCAATAGAACAGAGGAAAATTTTGATGCTGCTTCTAAATTTCACATTGTTAATGATGTGGAATACATAAGATATTTTATCAGTAATGTTATACAGTTTCAATTTTATCAAGCCTTATGCATTGCCGCTAACGAATTTAATCCATTTGATTGGAAATCTCAACCACTTCATCATTGTGACATTACAAATAGCACGAAAGCAGGAAATCTTCTCAAGTAAGGATAATAATTTTTTTGCAAAATTTTTGATAAAATTAAATATTAAAAAATTTACATCAAGATCTGCTTTTTTTTTAATATCAATAATTTTAATTGCTTTTACTAAATAAATAGAAATAAATTTTAGAAGCATGTTAAAAATGGGATTATCAGAACCTTGGCCTGTTGCTATGAATATATTAACTGGTCAAAAAAATATGAATAGTTCTGGTCTATTGGATTATTTTCAACCTCTAAAAATATGGCTTGAATCTGAAAATAAAAAAACCAATGAATACATTGGTTGGGAAAGTAATAACAATTGTAAGTGTATAAAATAATTATTTTTAATTTCACTTTTATTTTGCCATGAAACGAATTATTTTTTTAAATTTTTATCTTATTATTTTAAAATTTTAGAAACCAAGAAAACAACTTTTTTTAATTTAACGATACCAAGAACAAGAAAAATCTATTTCGCCAACAGTATTTTTTTGTTAATGTTAAAATGAATTTTATGTTAATTATTGTATAAGGCAATACACGTGTTAAAAACGTAATATCTACTTCAAATGTAGGTATGTAGATACTTTGTAAACAAAGTTTATTTACAAATTTTCTGTATATATTATATACGTTTTTGTTGATTTTATGTTAAATAAACATAGTGATAAAATTATTTGTAAAGTTCTTTAAACTTATTATTTATTGCTAGTAACGTAAAAAAAAATTCACCTGCTTAATAAAAAAAAAAAAATAAATGTTCCACGTGTAAAAATTTTTATTTACTTTTAATCTGTCGTAACTACACGAAGGGTCGTTTTGATAATGGGAGCAATTTTGTTATTTAATAAAAACTAAAAACATTTAATTTATTTAAACAAAATATTTTTTAAAATAACTTTTGACCTTTTGGTCCTACCTTGGGTCATTTTGACACTAGGTGCAATTTTTTCTATACTAAATAATTTCGAAACAAAAAACATTTAATTTGTTCGAAATTTCTTTTAATCAACTTTTACCTTCTATTACTATGCTATTTCATTTTGACCGATTTTTTTTTCAAGAGGAAATAATTATTTAATAACAAGAAAAATTGACTTTCTGGAAAAATTTTTTTTAATTAACTTTTAACCTTCTATTACTAAACTAGGCCATTTAGCAATTTTTTATAATAAACTAAAATTTAAAAACTAAAAACATTTAATTTGATCGCATTTTTTTTTATTAACTTTAAACCTTCTATTACTACTGTAGGTCATTTTGATCTATGTTTCTTTAATAGCAAACAATTATTTAAAAACCCGAAAAATTGACTTTCTTCAAAAACATTTGTTTGATTAACTTTTAACCTTTTATTACTAGACTAGATCATTTTGACACTTAAGGCCAGGTTCAAGTGTGGCAGCGCCATCTACATTGAAACTAAAATTTTTGAAAATTTCCAACAGCCTTTTCTTGAAAACAAGAAGATAAAATGCTTTTTCCTTTATGGATAATTGATTATTGGCAAGAAATACACCAGCTAAAACTTTTTTTTGAGTTAAAATAATGAAAAAAATTTCATGTCAATAAATTAAATATGAGCATTTTTTTCACAAAAACTGTAACAGTACTTTCTCAGAAATTACAATCAAAAATGCAATTTCCATTTGGAAAATTAATAAACGCTAAAAAATACACCAGTTAAGATTTACCAATCGCGAAAATAACAAAAAAAAAAAGTTTTTTAACATAACATATTTTACTAATTATGACAGCCGTTTGGCAGGTTATATATGTCACCAGACGTTTCGCGATTTTGCCGAAAGGAGGAGATTGGCGCTGTTGCTAACCACCTGAAATAACCTCCCTGAAGTTGGCTTTGACGCTAAGCGCCGAAAATTGTTTTTCGCAGAATCAAAAATATTAAAAACATTTTTTAAAAAGGTTTTGGGTCCACACAATGCCTTGAGAAGTAATTTTCAAGTTATTATTTGGATTGAAAAATTTAAAAAAAAATAATTTAAAATTTTTGATTCTGTGAAAAATAATTTTCGGCCCTGAGCGTCGAAGCCAACTTCAGGGAGGTCTGAAATACATAATCTACCAAAGGGCTGTCACAATCAGTAAAACAGTGTCCATATGTTAAATATGTAATAAAATTTTTTGTTGTTATTTTCGTGATTGGTTAATTTTAGCTGGTGTATTGTTTAACGTTTATTAATTTTCCAAATGGAAATTGTATTCTTGATTGTTAATTCCGAGAAAGTAATGTTACAGTTTTTGTGAAAAAACTGCTCTCATATTTAATTTATCGACATGAAATTTTTTTCATCATTTTAACCAAAAAAAAAGTTTTAGCTCGTGTATTTCTTGCTAATAATCAATTATCCATAAAGAAAAACGCATTTTACCTTCTTGTTTTCGAGAAAAGGCTGTTGAAAATTTTCCAAAATTATAGTTTTAATGTAGATGGCGCTGCCTCACTTGGATCTGGCGGCAATATTTTCTACCATGTATAATGCAGACTTAAACATACCTTTGGAATCTTTTCTAGAGTTATAAGATAAATTATATACATTTAAAAATATGTTGCAATCTATTCTTTATTACAGAGGGTGAATGATAAATTCTCAAGAAGAAAAAAAAAATAAAAATTCTTCAAAAAAAAATACGACTTCGATTAAAATTCTTTTCCCATAATTTTGTTGTTTTAATGGAATTTTTTTTCTCTCTTTGATTTAAGTTTTATATCTGATTGATAAAGAGGGCACGTGATTTGTAACGTTATACGAGAGCGTGAAATGAAATATTTAACATTGAGGGGATGTTATAATCTATATATATATATATATATATATATATATATATATATATATATATATATATATATATATGGAAAAGGGTATATAAAATTAATGAATCACGAAAGGAAATATATACTACCCTTCAGAGAACAACCTGTTAAATCTCTAAAGTTATTCTAATTTATATACAGAAAAATAAAAAATTTCTAGTTTTATTATGAATAAAATTATAATAATAATAATAATTTAATTTTAATTTTTCAAATCGTATCAATGAGTAGGGGTAAACGGTACAGTGATTGCCAGTATAAGCAAAAAGGGGATATATTTATACAAATTACAAATGTTTAATTATCGAAATGAGAAATGAAACCATTTGTAAAGGAATTAAAATATTCCATTAATTTGAAAATAATAATGAATTGTTTATTTAATATTAGTATAAATTTAAAAAAAATAAAAAAATCTTCACATGACAGAAAAAATAGTGATTGTCAATATTTTTACAGTGATTGACTATCAATTTTAAAATGATTGCCCACTAGACATAAAATAGTAATGTAAATTATAAATTTTGCATAATTTATTAAAGAATGAATATAATTTGAAATTAATAAAGAAGAAGTAATTTTTAAAATAATTTTCTTTTATTTACAATAATAAGATTCATTAAATATCACTTTTAAGTGTAAATAATACTATTAACCTAAAAAATTGGGAAAATTGTCGAATCTGATTCAATTGTAAAAATAAAAATTATTTTTGGCTATTTTGATTTGATATAATGATTACATGATTTTCAAGTTTTTCATTGCTTAATATTAAAATATTAAAAAATTGTTAATAAAATATTACAAATCATTCTAATACATGCTGCGGCTCTAATTACATCTTTATTTTAAAAAATTAATTCACCAAATATGAAAAAACGTCCAAAAATTAAAAATACTTATCTCAAAAAAGTCTTGAAAATAAACGGTTAATCACTGAAAAATGACATAATAACCAAAAATTAAACATTGCCCGGGGAGGGCAATGACTGTTATTTGTTATTAATTGCAAGATAGTAGTTGTTCTCTATAATTTTCGGTAAATCGAGTCAAATTATGTTAAAACAAATTTTTTTACTTATTATTAAACTTATTTTCATGCATATAATTAAAAAATAATAATGATATGTATAATTTTTTCGTTAAAAAGTCAAAGAAAGTATCACCACTAACCTTGCAAATTTACAACTAAATTGACAAAATTTCAAAGAGCTAAGGACACTGTTCTCGAAAAGCGCTATTATTTTCATAATAGTGAGTCGAAGAATAAAAATCTTTTTACACTATTAGCAGAATATTCTGTAGAATTTATATAAATAAATAAAACAAAATATTATATGTAAATTTCGTTATTATTTCTGTTTGTAATGTAATGGTGGCAATCACTGTGAGGGGGGCAACAACTGTACCGCTTACCCCTATAGAATAAAAAAAAAATTTTTTTTCATGAAATCCATTATCATTAGAATGCAAGAAATTTTAGTGTGATATATTTCTTCATATATGACATTATTATGACAATAAAAGTTAAAAAGTCAGGAGAAAAAAAAATCTGTTAGCCATAAAATGAATATAGTCCTGCTGGCTTGGAAAAAAAGGGAATGATATTTCATGACGCTATTTCATCTTATTTTTACCTTCACATAACCCCATTTCGTTGTGCATCGTCTCATTTTGACCTTACCTCGTTTTCTACGTTTTATATTCAGTTCTGTCGTATTTTATCCTCGAGTCACATTACCCTCTTCTACTACTTTGTTCTCTTCTATTTCATCCCCATTTCATTTCACGCTCTCATCCAAACCATTCCAGTTTCCCTCATTTTTGTCCTTGTATATATATATATATATATATATATATAGGAAGAGAGTAATAATTGTAAATATTGTGAACGATACTAACGTGGTGCATGTTCCACGAGCATAGCCAATAGTTTGACAGAAAGTGTTTCCTAGTGTTGGTTGTAACTTTCTTCACCAGAAGGTTATATTCTTTTATTTATATATATTTTTTTCTCTCTCTCATGTGTGTGTTTACTTTTGTAGCGCTTCGTTGCAAAATGCGGGATATGTTATCTAGCTGGCAAAAGAGGCCGTACAGAGAACACCCACTCTGTCAAATAAGTATAAGATATAGGTGTAAAGTGGAAAACCAAGGAATAGAGGAAATGTGAGAATGGGGTTGAGAAAAGTAAAAGGAAGAAAGACATCGAGTGAAAGACAAAATGCCTCTCTTATAGAGCTCTTTTTTTTATTTTTATCTCTACTCTGGATATTCAATAGCTACTGCAAAGTAGGTGTCAAGTTCTTTATTATAATGAAAATGCTATATTAAAGGACTTTATTGTGCACATAAAAAAGAAACCTCCCCTCACGCCCACGCAAAGACTTGTCTTTTTTTATAAAGACTTGTATTTCAATTATAAGAAATAGAATATCAGATTTTTTTTTCTTGATAAAATTTTGTGATTTTGGAATAATTTGAAGAAAAAAAAAATTATATATACACTGACTTTTAAGCTAAACTGGAAATACTAGAATTTATACTGAAAGTAACGATCGATAATACATCGTTCTGCATTATCGACTGACGGTAAATGGCGCAGACCAATGGCAAAATTTTAATAAAGAAACCTGCATTACCAACGGATGCTAAAAATGTCACTGCAGAAATCTATATTACCCATCGTCGATAAATCAGCAAACTGCATTACCATCAGTCGAAAATGCAGCGTTCTGCATTATTGACTAATGATAAATAGCAGACCAATGGTAAAATGTCACTAAAGAAACCTGCCTTACCAACGAATGCTAAAATATCATTAAAGAATTCTGTATTACTAACCAAGACTTGCACACGCCATCGATAAATGACGACGCTGAAGTACGCAACGTTAATGATAAACGATATTTAAAAAAATAATTTTTTAGAATGAAAAATTCTATAATTTTTTGCCTGAAATATATTTCTTGTAGTTTTTATTAATTAACAAATTCTAAAAAAAATATTTCTCTAGCTAAACAATTTAAGAATTTTCCGTGTCAAATAAAAATTCATTTCTTATCGTTGAACATAAACGTTGTGTACTTAAGTATCGTGATAAATGAGCCAACTGCATTACTGTCAGTCGGTAATACAGCGTCCTGCATTATCGACTGATAGCAAATAGCGCAGATCAATGGTAAAATGTCAGCTAAAGAAATCTTCATTACCAACGTTATTAAAGAAATCTGTATTACTAACCGTCGGTAAATCAACGATCTGCATTACCGACTGACGGTAAATGGCATAGAACCTACATAGCTATACTAATCACATGGCTTGGATTAAGTTTTTTGATCCAAGTAAATTCAGATTATTGCGAACTAATTGCGGATTGATATCATGTCAATTACGGATTATTTCAAAATTGATTGCAAATTTTTCTTTTGTTTCAAACTGATTGCTGACTAATAGAGATATTTTTTGGATTGTTAACTTTATTTTCAGTAACAATTTTTTGTAATGAATAAAATATTATAAAAATTTGTTTTTTACTATTATTTTTATTACCGTGGCAATGAAAAGAGAAGGGAAATAAAAAATTGTATATAAAATGAAGACGAACTCGTCATCGAAGTTTCTTTTTTATCAAATCTGTTCGCCTAGATATTTTCCGCATCCATGTATGCATACTTTGGACATTCAACGATATGTATGTAGCAGATGTTACCTAACATTCACGTGTGCAACTGATATATATATATATATATATATATATATATATAAACTGTACATGAAATACAAAGCACTCTCAATACACGCTTTAAAATTTCCCAGGACATATTTCACTCGTCGTACTTTTCTTTCGAAGACATATTCATTCGACTGTTAAATTTAAATTTAATATAAGGCGATTTAACTTTTCATTCGAATTGACAGTATACCTTTCAATTTAACTTTATTAATTTTTATATTTCTTATTTGAATAAAAAAAAAAAATTTACGTAATTATACACTTTTCTAATATATAACTATCAGTGTTAAATATCACTTGTTCTTTTATTTTTCGTTAAAAAAAACTCTATTGTTATTTAATCAACTGTGTTGAAAAAAAATCAAAACTTAATGGATTTATCGCTGCAAAATGTGTAAATTTTGTACAAGTGAAACAAAAGTACTTGATAAAATAAATACCACTCCAAAAAAAAAAAAAAAAAGAAAAAACAAGTGTTACAATAAAATTCATCAATAACAAATAGGGGTATTAAAATTTCAATGATGCTTTAATTTAATACACCAGTCCATTGGAGATAAGGGGTGCTTTGTGTTAATAAAATATTGACACTCGATATTTTGCTCACGTTCAGGGCTTTGTAGAAATGCAATTATTTGTTAAGTTGCGAAAATCGCTTGTTGTTTTTAAATAATTACAAATTCAATGGTCATGAAAATTTCTGTTGAATCGAGGAAATTTATATTAATGGTTTTTAAATTAATTATCAATAAATATTAATATGATATTTAAATTTTAGACAAAAGTACAATTTTTCAAATGTAAGTAACGTTATTTCAAAATTTTCATTATTTAAATTGTAGATGATGAGGTTACTGTGTTAAATAAATATAATTAATTATTGTACCCTACAACTTCACCTAAACGACAATGATACAAATTTTTCATTCGAAGTGTGTGTTTCTTTTTTGTATTACAAAGTTTATTTATTTATTATTTTTATAGAAAGTAAAAAATCAACAAAATATCAAAAATTAATTTAATAATTTAATATCAAAAATGTTTGAAAAGTTTTAACAATCACGAATTTAATAATATAGTATCAGAAAAAATAATTTTTATGATAATGGAAAGTTTTTTAGTTTATAGTGAAAATTTTTTGCAACAGAATTTTCATATTGACGATTTTTACTATTATCAAATTTTTAGTTTATTTAAAATTATTACATATATAGTATCTAAAATATTTAAGGACAATTTAAAAAAAAAACCTCACATGTATGGGGGATCGAACTCAGGACAGATGGGACGCGAGCCATTTACTTTGACCAAACAGCTACGTTGAGTTACAGATATTTTATACCTAACACACTTCTTTTTTAATATGAAAGCTAAACTACCTTCTATTTGGGACAATTATTACATAATTATTAAAAGAAAACATTATCTTCAAATTTTTTGCATTTAATAATACTTTATAATTTAAAATAATTAACTAAAAAATCAGAAGTTTTTCAAATTTTTAAAAAATCAATTAAAAATAAATCATTGGACCCTAAAACATTATGTAAGGAATTTTTTATCCATTTTAATTTTTAAAGTTTGGTAATAACAATCGAAAAATATTAAACTGATTCCCTGCCATTAAAAATAATTTGTCGATAGAGGAATATTTCAAAAAGTGGTCAGAGAAAAAAGAAATATAAAAAGTTTATATATATATATAAATCCAAATAGTGAGATATATGACAATGTCAAAAGTACTTTTCAAGTCGACAAAGAGAGCAAGCGCATAAAGTGTGAAAAGACGTATCGAAATAACTATTGTGTGTGAGAAAACCATTTGTAAAACTTGTTGGAACTTTAGAAAGAGAGAGAGAGAGAAGAAGAAGAATACACTTGACACACTCACCGTTTTGTTGCTTATATTTTTGACGCGGCAATTTAGGTACGTCGTCTTTCCCAACAGTGCTGTCACGTTTTTCGAGGCTGACTTGTCGATATAGGGCCCCGATCGTGCTGCTGCTTCTTCAATTGTGTTTGGAAAAGTTTCTCCATTTTTACCGCTACTCCCATGTAGCATACTGTAGCAATTGACTACTGAAACAAAAAACATGTCCAAGTTATAAATGCATCAATAAAAAAAAAAAAACTTTTTAAATTTTTCGTAATATTTCTTTAAAAATTAGAAATGATTTTCTTTCCTTTAAAATATATATATTTAATATTAATTTTTTTCTCAAAAAGTTTTTAGAGAAAAGTTCTCGAGAGAGAGAGTCAAGTTTGGAATGAACAACTTGGGTGAAAGAATCTTAACGAAATGAAATGGTCGATGTATTGGGTCAAATCAAAATTCGATATTTGTCGAGAAGAGGCTGCGGAAGTAATTAGAGGATGGGATAACTAGATTATATCCGTTCCATATTCTGCAATAGGGCGTAATCAGCGTATGATAGTTATCTAGGTTTGAAATACGAATAGCTGATGTTATGGAAGTAGCTACAACTCCGTTGATATCTACTTTAATTATAAATTGTAAATAAAACTTTTTAAAACAAATTTTAGAATAAGTTATTCTTTATAATAGCCACTAGAAAATGACCAATTAAAAAAAATTAACATTCTTTTTTTGATTTGAAATTAAAAAAAAAAATTATTTGTAATTCCACGTTAAGTATATTTAGTCATTATACAAATTTTAAGGCCAAAGTATTCAAGTAAGTTGACATAGCAAGCTTTAGTACCTTTTCAGTGCTTGACAACAGACGAATTGATTGCTATGCAAGCGAGCGCTCTATATATACTGAGGCCCGTGAGAAGTGGGGGTAACCATTCAGTAGTGGGGCGGCGCTTGATAGTGGGGAGTACTAAGTTCTGGCATCACTGCTCCTCAGTTCTTCGCCAACTTTGACGACGACAAGTGTTCTCTCTCAGAATCAAAAATTAATTCCAACAATTTTGATAATGAAAATAAAATATTTTATTATTGATGTTTTTCCTAAATCATCTTCTCTCTGTGCAGACTAATTTTCATTTAAATAAAAATTCTGACATTACTCTCAGAATAAATTTTAATAATGAAAATAAAATATTTTATTATTGATGTTTTTCCTAAATCATCGTCTCTCTGCGCTGACTAATTTTCATTTAAATAAAAATTTTGACATTACTGTCAGAATAAATTTTGATAATGAAAATAAAATATTTATTATTGGTGTTTTTCCTAAATAATCTTTTCTCTACAGACTAATTTTAAATTCGAAAAAAAATTCTGACGTTACTGTCAGATTAAATTATTAATTTTTGTTGCTTTGTATAAAGTGAAATTAAAAAAATTAAATAACACAAATCGGGATTAATTATTGTCTAATAAAATAAATATAATCCTTAAAGTACAGATAAAAATTCAAAATGATATGAGTGTAAATGCAAATTTTCAATAGAAATTATTATTAAACCGAAAATTGAATGAAACTGGTCCAATAAAGCAGATTGTTATATAAGGAGCTTGCGAGCAACTTTTGAGTGAATAAAGGCCAACTGGGAATTGTAATTTAAATGAAAAATTGGAGATTACGTTGATATCAAACAATAGAGCGAGTGAGCGTATTAGAATTTTAATCGAGACACTCACATATCCCGGTTATCTCCCGCGACGGTCCATTACACACAGTGTCGCGGATAATCTGAAATAACGGATGAGGCATAAAGCCCACCGCTTATCATTCGTAAACGCAAACATTCGATAGAAATTTTCAAACTAAAAAAAATATTCATATTCAAAGTTGATTATACAATAAAGATAATAAAAAAAAAATTCCATCCACTTTGAATACCTAAACATATGCTATAAGAGTTTTCTTTTTTAATCTTAAAGCAGGATTTTTTTTTTAATTGTATAATTAAATTATTTTAATAAATGCTTATTATTATGTTAAAAAAGAAGTTTATTTACTTTATTAATTTTTCATATTTAAAGATAGAAAAAAAATTATTAAAAAAGGAGGAACGAGAGATAAAAACGAAAAAAATTATCACCAGCTATAAATAAGTAAAAAAAAAAATTAGGTCAAATTGATAAAGCAAAATCAGAAACAAGAGGCTTCACATCTTTTTGCAAAATGCTTTTTATATTTCACGCCTCGTACAATTCAAGGTAGAATATTCAAATTGCAGACTCTAAGAGGGTTAGTCGGGGGTAGGAGGAGAAGAAGAAGAAGGCAGTGTAAGGGGACAGAGGATGCTTATCATTCAATCTTCTCTTCGTGGATCTACTCTTCCATGCTTACGACCTACTCTGAAATTCAAATTCGCAACTTTTGCTTAAATGTTAAGAAAGAACGCGCATCTAAGTACTTCGAGGTAAATCCCAAAGCATTATATACAAAAAAAAAAGAAATTTCAATTGAAAACGAATTTCTTTAATTGATTCATGAATTGAAATTTGTGCAATGTTTTAAAATAAAAAAAAGACTAACAATGTTAAACTTGATAAACGAATTTTTTAAAAAAATTTTTTGTATGTTCTCTATTTAGAAAAAAAAGTCCATTTAAATCTTGTTTTGATAGTTTTCAACTATGGTTAAATTTAAAAGGTTTTTTTTTTTAAAAAAAACTGAGTGTTTTCATTGCCCTCCGGGACTATGAGTCAAAAACTTCGATCTCACCCAATATCCGATCACTAAATTGGTTTCGGGAATTTTGCAAACTACTACGTACCACAAAGTAACTTTAATTAAAGCACTTCGATCCTTAATAGATTTAATTTTTTAGTTTCTAAATAAATTAAAGTATATTTTTTAAAATTTAGCAAAAAATAAATCAAATTTTGTTGTATAAAGAAGATTAAATAATTATATAATTTTGTTATTATATTTTTTACAAAGAAAATCTAGGAGAGGAAAAAATTTTTTTTACTTACTTTAATATTAATATTATTTTTATTATTATTATTGTTATTATTATTACCATATAATGCATTTAAAGCCGAGACCACTATTAATAGTATTAAAAAAAAAAATTAATTCCTAAAATAAAGTTATCAAATGAAGTTTTTTCTGTTAAAGCTCGGAGATTATCGTGGCATGTGCGGCAATAAAAAATAAAATGTTGGCTCACTACTCACGAGTTATTTCTTAAGCTCAAGTACTAGAGAGCCTTTTTATATTTCAAGAGAGAACAGAAAGTTTATGGATTTCCATTTTCTTTCATATCGTTATCAAGATTTTGAGGAAAGAACTTTTTTTTTTTATTTTTATATCACATTTTTTTAACCCTTTATCGATGGACAATTATATACCATAAAAGTGAAAATATTGTTTATGAAAATAAAAAATGCACTACAAACTTATTAAAAAAAAAATTGAAAGGAAAAAATAAAGTCTATACACAAAATCATTAAAAACAAAAGAAAAATTTTTTTATTTCAATAATTTGTAACTTCGTCTTTTTTTTCATTTTTCCCAATTGTATTATTAAGTTTTTTAAGCTTTATGCTAATTACCCATTGGATGTAGTTTCGAAAAAGAAAAAAAAATATTTTTTTTTTCCCCTCTTTTTCAAAGTTTTCAGGAGTAATTTAAGCTTTATAATATCTCTCACTCTTTTGTCTTACTGACCCTCAACCTGCTCTCTTGAGAGTTTCTCATTAACATTCTGCTGAAGTTGAAGAAAGCTCGTAAAGAATAAAATATATTGTAAGCAAGACTAAAATGCAAAAATTTGTCTTTTGAAACTTTTTTTTTTTTTTTAAATAACAACACAGTATGTACATGGAATAATTTTCAGTTTTGAAAAATCAAGGCAATTTTTTTTTGAATATTAATTTTTGAAATTTCCCAACTTAATTTATCACAGTTATAATATAAAAAACAAATTTCAGTTTAATAATATAAAGAAAAAAATTTAGCAAAATTTACAGTTGAAAATTTTTTATATACAAAATACACACACGAATATATATATATATATATATATATATATATATATACTATTTGATTAAATTTCTACAGTTTTTTAATACTCTTTTATTCTTTTTTTTCAGATTGGACTGAATTTATCGGAAATACAAATCACTGTCATTCGTTTAAAATAGAAAATGTATATTTGGAGGCATAAAAGTTCCGTATTCCGTACATAAAAGCCAGAAAAAAAAAATGAAACCACAACTGATTGAAAAATGGTTTTTAAATTCAACAAAAACCCGTGAGATAACAATCAATAGACAAAAATTGTTTCGTGTGCCACCAGTTTCCTCGAAAATAAATCTTCTCTCTTTAAAAAACTAAAAAAAAACTCCTTTTTTTGTAAAATTTTATTAAGATTTTATAGAGAAAAATGAACTCTGACAAAAATATAAATGATTCAAATTTCGCGGGTAATTTCCGTCATCTGATATTCTACTTTATCGACAGAACATAGATTGGAAACTCATACCTCTCACTTTTTTTTTTCTTAAAGTTTCTCAATTAACAGAAATGAAAATTGGTAAAATATTTCGAAAATAAATTTTTTAAGCAATAAATCTAATTATTGAAATTATTTGCGTTATTTTTGTTGGAATAAAACTGAAAAAGAAACAAAAAAAAAATATTTATATTAAGATAAATTTTTTATCGAACTTAAATGTCAATGGTTTCGTGAAAATCTGTTCTTACTTTTTTTTTTTTTTTATAAAGTCTCTCTTCAATAACTTCTCAAGATCTGCGCATTTTATCTTCGCATCTCCCATTCGAAGACAAGAAAAGTCGCTTTTTTTCTATAGCAAAAAAAAGACGTCCTGACCATCTAAATCTCACTTTTCAAGCCAAGAGTGTCACACAATATATTGCTTTTAAATTCAAGAAAATCTTTGTTCCTTTACTCTAGTATTTTTTAAAGTGCAACATTTCTGATCGCATTTTCCTAAAAGTATATATATATATAAGCATTTACTGATTAAATCCTGAAAGATATTATTTTTAATATATTAAAATTATGTAAAAATACCTATGTTGTTGTAAAGGAAAATTGTCGATACTTTTCTTCATTTTTTTTTCTTCTTCAGAAAAATGTTTAGTATCATCTACCAAAGTTTGGTTCTCTCTACCAAATTTTTTATT